ATATTGTTTGTCTGTATAAAATATAGAGACTGAACATTTGTAACATGCATGTTTTAAACCAAATCATATCAATGAGGACAGAGTAAAGAGATTATTGTTGTGCATATCAATTAATAGATATCCATACTGGTCAGATGTTGCATGTGAACAATCCTTGGTACTTTTGTATGTACCAGTTCCACCTGTCAGTATGTGATTATAAAATCGGCCGTTTTTCAATGTTACCAGTTTTTAGAAATGACTTGTAAATGCATTAATAACTGCTTTTTATAGGAATTAATGAACTATACTCTTACGCAAGTTCATATTACAGCAATAAAGACAACCCAGAGTACAAGTGAAAGTGTTTATTAGTAATGCCATTACATATCAACAAAACCAGCAGGTTATTGAGATTCATAAAACATGGCTGAAATGAACGGCTTGTGCAGACAAGAACTGCTTATCAAATAAATGTAATCAAAATGAACAATACTTTCACTGACTAATTATGAACACTAAAACTATCAAAGTTATTTAGGCCAGATGGTATCATCAAGTCAACATTACTTTCATTGATCATGCACACTGGTGCCATCAAGTTCATATTACTTTCACTGATTGGTTAAATACGATTCATATAACACTGATGATGTGCATCAGTAACCCACTATGACTGATGTCAATGCCAAGTTTGAATGAAATCGGTGAAGGCATGTCCAAGAAACGGTTGATGGCATTTTTGAATTGTGTGGTTTTATTCGTTTTTGACGAGAATGGCTGCTAGTCAGCTAAATTTTGATGAAAACAAAAAATATCTGAACAACATTTAACCCAATATATCTGGCTTCTGTACAAAATTTAACCTAAATCTGTACAATCAGCTCTGTAAAATGAACAGAAAAACAAAGCGACCACCAGTCCGTTATTTTGAATCGAATCACGAAAAAAAAATATCCACAATATAGGCCCAGTATTATACAGTAAACTTTTGCACATGCATCAGCAACAGTGGTCAGTGATCCCTGACACGCATAAGCCCGCGGTTTGTGAGTAATTTTAGTTCAAAAAGTTTTCAAAACACTAACCTTTTTCATCACGTCGTTGGCTCATGGTGACACTAAAAATGAGTAAAATGAATTAGCAATGTTGTATTTAACAAATTGAGCTGTTGAGAGTAGTGAATGCATAAGGATTGTGAATGCCATCTAGGATAACTGCTAAGATATTATCGACAAGATGTATATAGTAAAGACATCATTCTTTTGTCTCAACATAAACGTAACTTCACAAGATTCATTTGCACGAAACGCAGCCGCTGTAAATACATACAGGCATGATAGAAAATAATACATGCATGGATTTTTAAGTGCATTACAGAAAACACTGATACAATACTAGCTCTATAATACGTTGTATGATGTGCTGTATGTGGTATTTTGCGCCTTTGCATCACACAACTGTACATTTGATCACGTGATTACCATATACTAGTATAATATTTTGAGAACAATTGAAAATAGACAAATGTACAAAAAGATATAGCCAACATATTAGATAACCATATAAGATATAGAAACGTCATTAATAGAGCAATGGACACAATTAACCAATGATATATTTAAATTCACCATATCGGTTAACGTATCAGATGAACTTCTTACTTCTTTAGGATCGAAGTATGTGAACCTCGGAGCAGCATTTTACAGAAATACACTGATTTAGACAGTTTAGCGGCAATATATCAGGCGTGTATAGCCTAACTTAATTTGACTGGAAATGAGTCGTCTTACTACTAAAAACGTCCAGCCATAATAAACAAAGGCGCCGCCTCCAGGTTTGTGATGGCGATGTGTATGTTGCAGGGTTGAATTCGAAAAACTGGACGCAATGATATTGACGTCGGATATCATCAGAAAACGCGGGATTTGTGCAGTTTTGAATAAAACCAAGTTAGAGATTATGAACAATGGTTATAAACGTAACACCCGATCCCCTTTAATATTTTTGTTTCGCATTTTAAGGTAAGAAATCAGAATTTGAAACCGACAAGGTGTCGATTTATGTTTCATATTAAACTTGTTTATTTATATACGTATAGCGGAAGATTTTTTTTTTTTAAATTAGTATTTAATTTATTTTCAGGCTCAAGTGACTGTGTATCAAACCCACCGGTCCTGCACGGCAACCGTTGTCACGATGCATCTCAATTTAGCATCTAAAGCCAAAAATTAGGGACGATATGTATAAATACTTGTACATTAATAGTCTGGTCTATGCAGTCAGCAATAATGAAATTGCAAAAATGGCATTCGCAAAATGATGACCTCGGATGTAGCTATGTCTAGGGTCATGGATATGATTTATAGTCTTTGCCCATTAATGTAATGTTATAGTGTATATGAAGTATGTGATCATGATTAATCTTCAAGATCATTTGTGACCACGCCATTGATTATTCGGCATAGGCTACCACAAGAATTGGCATGGCTGACATGTACCCATTCGAATTTTTAATGGCCATTGTTTGGCCGACTACAATTGTTGTGTTATTGAGGCGGATTTTTGTCACATGCAAGAAACAGCAAGAGCTGCAATGTGTACATCAAAAATGCTCTTATCATGCTTGTGATGTTGCTATTGTGGGTAAATGGCCACAGCAGGAATGTACATAACTGTCATTTATTAGGCAGACACTGATAGGGGCCAATTCCTTGTGCTGATGTCTACATACACATGTACATCAGTAAAAGTTTTGCTGTCATCAGCTGCCATTCTTGAAATGGTGCCACCGATGAACAGTTCTTGTCACTCACCTCAACCTGAAACAATGACATGTGTTGCCATTTGTTTCTAAGGCCAAATTTTATTTTTATGGAAATGAGTTAGCTTTTTCTAAAATGTACAAAGGTATCATCAAGTCAAATACAATTGTTTAAAATGAACATGTTGCCCAATATGTTTTACCCTAATACTGGAAACACTGAATTTGTTTTCATTGCCTCATAATGGTTTGAGATCTTTTTAACATGGTCCTCATAAATAATAAGAGATGAACTGGTATTCTGAATAACAGGTCCATGTATTTATATTCTATGTTTCTGGTTTGATCTTGACTCATTGACAGCCCTGTCATTGGTGATACCAGGATTTTACTCCTTATAGCATGTGTGTTGGCTGTCTTATGAAAACCAACAATGCTGTCTTTTCACATGGTTCACTCAATTCACTCCGGTCATATGTAAGATGGCATATTGCCATTGCCATGCGATGAATTCATGATGGGATTTTTATCATTCATACAAGGCAGTGATATTTCTATGAAGTACAATTACATTTCTTATAAACTCTTTGCACCTACTTTATTTCCTATTCATTCTAAATAGACATTTGTATGAACATACAATGACCTAAAAGTAAGAGTGTATATTTGTAGGACACCATGTAACTTTGACTGTTATGGGTCTGTCAGTTAACTACTGGTTTCGTACAGTTTATTGTTGCTGCATATGTTACTGCACACATATATAGTGAAACAACAAGATATAGTATTTCAGCAATATGACTACTACCAAATTAATTGTCGGTGGTGATACCTATCATTTGGGTCTCCCGTCAACGCTTATGCGCTTTTACAGCATGAGTCGTTTCATGCGAATCATACCAGAACATACCAGAGAACAAATATAATCATTCTTTCTGATCAAGTACTTTAACCTCCCTCTCTTGATTCAAATGACATAACCAAAAGACTTAAGACATCACCTACTTCCTATAACACACAACACCATATTCACATAATTGTTCATACATGTATACATTGCCACAGCAAAATTAATTCCATAAATTTACCAATGGCTCCAGCAAATCATCTGCCCATATTAACTTTAGCCTCTTTTGTAAGCCATCTAATACTATTGTTTTGTGTTTCAATTACATAACGTTAGTCACAAAATGTCAGCTTCTATTATTTGAATACTCTGGAAAACACAATCCCATTACCAACGTCACGTTTATATTGCGCTGGTCCAGCTAACTCTGGATTGTCACAGTCGTATTATTGTCATCCATGCAATATACCAAATTACCGTCAGCGTTACTACAACAATTAACGAGGCCACGAAATACCATTTGGGTCGATTTTAAATGTCAAAAAGTTGTGAATGCCGACTTAGCCATTCGTTGGCAACTATTCTGTGTTCGGATTTTGGCATTCATGACAGTGGCCGCAACACGATACCGAGAAAACGCAAATAGCGACCTCTGTCGAATGCGTACACCGTCACAAGGCCATATTACTTTTCTACAGTAAATGGCAATTTACGAAATTTTACATAATTCGATACCATTGAGTCTAGATGGCATGCGGCGGAATGAGTTTCAGTTGTAGGAAACAGGTAGATTGCCATTACATCTATTAAATCAGTCATAATATAAATACGTTGTGATCGGCATTCACTTGTTGTAGCTTGAAAGATTTTTGATCACCACGTTTTCAATACAAGTTCCACCTTCTCTGAGAATATTTAAGAATGTGCTCAAAACATACCTACGTTATAACTGCTCGTCTGTGTTCTTCAGAAAAGCCTGTATAAGTCATAAACTAAACTGAAAAGTCTAACTTAAATGAAGGACAATGTGAGAACAGTTTGTTTTGTTGCCTTAAAAGGTAAGGAATGTTACAACACCTTGCTGATACTATTGCCATAAAAGGTAAGGCATGCCGATCGAGCTATCGACACAGGTGCCTATCATTGTATGCGAATGAGTAGTTTATTCATTGCCCAACATGCAGCTCTACGAGTAACAACTCATGAATCGAGGTTCTAACTTGCGAGTATCGTACCACATGCAGTTCGCGATCACGTTACTTGAGGTAAAATTAATTCTAGAAAATGTTCTTCAAAATCTTGCTGATATCTTGATGAAAAGAACATATTAAATTGTGTTACATTTAACAGTTTAACGGCGATATTGTATTAGGACCTAATCACTGATATTTATGTTTTAGAATAACTAATATGGCTGATATGAACGATTATCTCGCCGTCGTAGCTATTGACTTCGGTACTACGTACAGTGGATTTGCGTATGCATTCAACCACCAGAAGTACAGAGCAGGTCAACAAGGTATTCATATGAATAGCACCTGGGGAAACTGTCGAGGTGTTAGTACATTACAGACTCCTACATGCATCCTGTTAAATCCTGACAAATCCTTCCATTCGTTCGGCTACAGAGCTCAAGCAAAGTACATTGAATTGGAAGAAGAACAGGACAGACAGTATTATTATTTTGACAGGTTTAAAATGAAGCTGCATCAGTGCGAGGTAAGGTAAGATTTTCTTTTCATTTTTCTAATATGTAATTTGGTGTATGCGTGGAAAGCATTGAATTAATTTTTTGTCGAATGGCAATGAAAAAGTCGTGACTCAAACATGGTGTTTGTTTATAATTTTGTTCATTTACTTTTCATTAAATAGGAGATAGATAGCAGAACAGAAATCACAGCAAGCAATGGCAAAAAAGTAAATGCATTGGAAGTGTTTGCCCATGCTATTCGGTATCTATCCGAGGAAGCAACAAAACTTATATCTTCCCGATCAGGAAAATCATTTACTAAAAAAGATATGTTGTGGGTTATAACAGTTCCAGCGATATGGAATCATGTGTCAAAGCAGTTTATGAGAGAGGCCAGTTACGAGGTTAGTGTTCTGTTGTTTCGCTTTGTTACTTTCTGCAGAGTCACATTATGTTTTGTTTGTGTGGGGTCATCTATAGCACCATAATGGTTTATCCTGCTGCCAAAAGTGGGTCACGTATTTTTCTCTCTTCTTGCAAGCTCAAAGCTTTTTTTTACATTACGGCTTCGATCAAAATGTCATTACAATGACGTGCGGAATTGCTGAAAACAAGTACTTTAACCTAAAATATCGAAACTCGTTCAAGTAATCACCGTTATCACCGGTATGGCATCTTTATCATATATAAAAGTATTTCAACACGAAAAGATGAAATTCATGCGTGAACTAAATTATGTGTATGTACTTTAATGAGAAATTATTGGATTTGTAATTTTTTTATTTTATTTTCCCAATGTGATTCACGACTCAAATGTGCCCGCCCTCGTCTTATGAATCATAAAATAAAACAAGCAGCCTCTCGGTTGAGATAGCTCCGCTGTTAGCAATGCACATTTCAATTCAATAATTGAAGATTAAAGAGGTCCACCTGTAGTATCTATATGTATAATATCAAAGCAATCTGACTTGCGGTTTGCAACTAAAAGTCGAAACTATCACTTTTTACCAAACACGACAAAAATATTCAATAAAATTAGAGATAAGTTTTGCCGAGCTAAACAATAATGATATGCAAATATTTCTCCATCAGGCGGGTATCATATCAAAAAACAATCCATGCCAACTGGTAATCGCTCTAGAACCAGAAGCTGCGTCACTTGATTGCCGGGAACGGAATATGGCTGAATTTGTTGATAAATCTGATGATAATGGAAAGTGTGGAGATGTAGTTTCAAAGCCCGGAACAAGTTACATGGTTGTTGACAATGGCGGTAAGATTTTATCAAACTCACTCTTGACATAATAATGCCCCGTGATAATGATGACCCCTCTCATTCAGCTCTGAACTGGCAACAAAATTGATATTACCC